CTCCTCCCTGCCCCCACCCCGATTCCTAGCACGAGACGCTCACTTAGCTAGTCAGCGGCCGACCTGAGTCTAGAACCCAGGGTTCCTACATCTCTGCCAAGTGCTCTTTCCTTACAGTCCCCGGCCTAGGGCCCCTGGGGCTCTGCTGGTCACCAGGCGGTGGCCGTTCCAGGTTTTCTTCCTCGAAGCAGCCCGGCTGCCTTAGCTGCTGTGTTACAAGGAAGCCCTGCTGCACCTGCCAGCTGGATTCAGTGGTATGTGTCCTAGTCTTGGGCGCTGTTTGTGTCTTAGACCCCTAGCACCTCTCGGAAGTCCGTGGATGCCCCCTCTTGGCCAGGGGTCTACCGCCTATCCATGTCTTTGATGGAGCGGCTCCTCAAAACTCTGCGCTACAACTTCCTGACCGAGGCCCTGGACTTCGTGGGGGTTCACCAGGAGCGGACCTTACAGGTGAGGGGCTGCCAGCATCATATGGGTGGGGGCTCAGGGTAATGGGGGGGGAGGTCTGGGCCATTCAGAAACTTCTTAGCCATGATACCTGTTGTGCCATCACCTCTGCGTTTGTGGGCTCAGGACCTGTCCTCCCAGCAGCAGGGCAAGAGCAGGTGGGTTAGGTCCCTGATCCAGCCCACCCTCCCGTCTCTTCCCTCCCAGTGCCTCAGTGCGGTGAGGACAGTGCAGAGCTTGGCCTGCTTGGAGGAGGCTGACCACACGGTGGGCTTCATTCTGCAGCTCTCCAACTTCATGAAGGAGTGGCACTTCCACCTGCCTCAGCTGATGCGGGATGTCCAGGTGGGACCTCAGACATGGCTCCTTGGGTGGGGGTCTGGGGAAGTGCCTGCATATGGGGGCCGTGGGCACTGTCTGGCGCACCTCTGGTGAAATGCAGGCCCGTTCCTGGAACGTGGGCATTTTGCTCAACAAATACAGGCTTTGGTTTCTTCATGCTGCTTTCTCTGAAGCTGAAATTTTCTTTCCATAGTAAAGGGCAGCCTTGTAGCTTAAGAACCTGGGCTCAGTTAGAGACATTGGTTCACATCCCTTAAGGATGGGCCAGCAGAGCAAGGAGTAGGGGATGTAGGGAAAGAACGGGTCCTGGAGTCAGACAGGCATCTGTCATTTGTCTGACCTTGGTCAGGTCACTTCACGGTCTCTGAGCCTTTTTCTTCTGTAAAGTGGGAAAATGATCCCCATCTTCTTTATTTTTTTTTATTTTTATTTTTTTTAAAGATTTTATTTATTTATTCATGAGAGACAGAGGGAGAGAGAGAAAGAGAAGCAGAGGGAGAAGCAGGCTCCAGAGGGAGAGAGAGAAAGAGAAGCAGAGGGAGAAGCAGGCTCCCAAGGAGCAGGGAGCCCAATGCGGGACTCAATCCCAGGACCCCGGGATCATGACCTGAGCCGAAGGCAGACGCTTAACCATCTGAGCCACCCAGGCGCCCATCTTCTTTATTTTTTAAGAAAGTTTATTTAAGCAATCTCTACACCCAGTGTGGGGCTTGACCTCACAACCCTGAGATCAAGAGCTGCGTCCTCTACCGACTGAGGCAGCTGGACGCCCCTCCCCATTTCACTTGTTTCCTGAGGACCCATCGTATGTGCTAGACCTCAAGCTAGGTCCCAGGGAGACCTCCCAGGCCCCTCTTGCCCCAGCTCGTAGGCAGGCGTCCTTAGTGGCTGTAAGATTTGCAGCCCGAGAATGTAGGAGGTGAGCACCGTGGGACCTCAGGGATGGAGGAAGCGCACCGGGACTCTGGGGGGCCCGCTCGGTCGGGCTGCTGCTGAGCGCCCCCCGCCTCGGCCCCTTGTCCACTACAGGTGAGCCTGGGCTACCTGTGCCAGGCCTGCACCTCCCTCCTGCACAGCCGCAAGATGCTGCAGCACTGCCTGCAGGTGAGTGCCCTCTCCACCCGGCTGCCTGCGGGGCCTCACCCAGCGTCTGGGGACTCCACCTCCGTTTCTTGTCTCCCTCAGAGCAAAAATGGGGACGGCATCCCCTCGGCTGTTGCCCCCCGAGTTCAGCGGCTACCCACTGCTGCCCCCGCGCCCCCCTCCTGCTCCTCCTCCAAGCAGCCCACTGCTGACACGGAGGCCTCGGAGCAGCGAGCTTTGCACACAGTCCAGTACGGACTCCTCAAGATCCTCAGCAGGACCCTGGCGGCCCTGCGCCACTTCACCCCGGACGTCTGTCAGATCCTGCTGGATCAGGTACTGGCCACCCCGAGTGCCAGGCCACCAGCCTCCCCACGGCGAGCTGCCGAGGCTCTCCGGGGCCCCCCTCTGCCCTGAGAGCTTGTCCGGGGTCCTGGCGGGGCTCCACATTGCTCCCGTCTTGCCTTGCAGTCCCTGGACCTCGCTGAATACAACTTCCTATTTGCCCTGAGCTTTACCACGCCTACCTTTGACTCTGAAGTGGCCCCCTCCTTCGGGACCCTTCTGGCCACAGTGAATGTGGCCCTCAACATGCTTGGAGAGGTAAGCTGGGGGCTGTCAGACTCTGGCCTCTCAACCTTCCAGTCTTCCTCCCCGTCTCCCGCGCCCTGACTGTGGCCTCGAGCACGTTATTAGCCCTCCCGAGCCTGTTCTCTTCCCGAATGAGTGTGACAGAGCCTCCCCGAGAGGATTGTCATGAGGCCCGAGTGAGGGAGCTGAACGCTGCTTAGTGCAGGACCTGCTGGGTAGGAGGCTCACAGTGAGTCACACCTGTTACTGTTACATTTTTTTTTTTTTTTTTTTTTTTACCATTTCTCTTCCTCCAGCTGGACAAGAAAAAGGAGCCCCTCACCCAGGCTGTGGGGCTCAGCACACAGGCAGAAGGGACCAGGACGCTGAAGTAAGAAAAGCCCTCCTTCTAGAACGCGAGCTGGGGTCAGGGCTGCTGTGGATCAGCCATCCTGTTGGCTCGGCGGTGTGCCTCCTGCCGGCTGGCTTGGCTTGGCTCCTTGCAACAGAGCCCGCCCTGCCCTCTCCCCAGGTCCCTCCTGATGTTCACCATGGAGAACTGCTTCTACCTGCTCATCTCCCAGGCCGTGCGCTACCTTAGGGACCCAGCCGTGCATCCCCGGGACAAACAGCGGATGAAGCAGGAGCTCAGCTCGGAGTTGGTACAGACGGATAGAGGGCTCAGACTGGGGAGGGGGAGGGCGGCTGATGGGGATGAGCCTGTTGGGGTCCCACCCAGCCCCCCACCTCCCAGGGCCAGCCAAGGGCTCGGGGCCTCATCTAGTGCCTTTTCTCTCATAGAGCACGCTGCTCTCCAGCCTCTCCCGCTACTTCCGCCGCGGGGCGCCCAGCTCCCCTGCTGCCGGCGTCCTCCCCTCGCCTCAGGGCAAGTCCACCTCTCTCTCCAAGGCTGGCCCGGAGAGCCAGGAGCCTCTGATCCAGCTAGTGCAGGCCTTTGTGCGGCATGTGCAAAGATAGGGCTGCGGCCCGCCCCCAGCCCGCATGGCGCCCCGGGCAGCAGGGGTGCTGCCGGCCGGCCCGACGGCCCGCGTGGGACTGAGAGCAGCACCTGTCTCCTGCCGCCCCCAGCAGCCCCGACTCCGCCCACTCACTGGCGTTATTTTTGTAATAGATCAAGAGGTCCACAGCCAGGTGGGAGCTACGAGTCTGCTGCACTCGCGCCCTCAAGTTCAAAATGCCCCAGGGGTGTGGTCCTCCCCTCAAGCATTCCCCACTGCACCTGGCCCAGTGGAGGCCGGGAGCCAGCGTCTGTGCGGCCGGGAGAGGCTGCGTGCACGGGTCTGAAGATGTTTTCCATGCTCTGTTCTTGCAGTTTTTGGTAATACTGTGGTCTATTTATACAAATATTAAAAATACTGTTTATAGACAGATGGGTGATGTGTCTTCAGGGCCTGGGGTCGAGCAAGTCTTCCTCGGCCAGGCACCCGGGAGTGGAGCGGAGGTTTGGGGAAAGCAGGATATTTATTGACGGTTGACCCACTAACATCCCCCCGGGGAAGCCAGGTGGACACTTTAATTTGCCCTTCCCTGGCTCCCCTGGCTCTTGTCCCATCCCCTCACCCCTGCCACATTCCCATTTTCCAGCTGGCCTAGCTTCTCGTGGGGTGTGGCCTTTCCTGAAGTTCCACTGCTATTTATAGCTCAGTGCCCCAGCCTCCCTCCCTGCCCTTCCCCTCAGAGGCCCCGGGGTGGGGCCTGCCAGCCTCCAGCCGCCTCACCACCTCCTCACCAGAGAGCTGGGCCTGGCTAGGGGCCTTCACCTGAAACCTGAAGTTTCTAAAACCAGACTGACCTGGTGCTAGAGTCCCTGCGCGGCCACCTGCCAGTTACGGAAGCTTGAGGACGTGACTGACTTTCTGCTCTCTTCCCGCGTCTCGGAGGACGACGTGAGAACAGGCGAACCAGCCACAGGTTACCAGCCAAGACCCCCGTGCACATTACAGCCCACATTTAGGCAAGTTTCTCTTAGGACAAAATGTCTCCCCTGCAGCCTCCTGTGCAGAAGCAGGGCTCCCCCTGGAGCCGCGCAGGCCCTGCAAGAGGAAGGGCAGCCGGGGAAGGCTTCCCTTGCCCACCCTCAGGGCCAGCCCCAGGGGGCCCGCAGCCCGACGGGAGCCCAGGCGACATGCACGTGAAGGCTGGTTTATTATTTGTCACTGGCTGGAGAGCAAGCAGACAGGCAGAGTAAAAAGATCAGTTTAAAAAGTGAGTGTGGAGAGGTGCAGGCTGAGCCATGGAACTTGGCGTGAGCTGTCCACGTGGGAGGGGGAGGGCAGCACCCAGTCCCTCCGCCCCGGTCCCTCCGGAGGGGCTGGCATCCAGGCCCCGGGCTGCCGCACACCTGCCTGCCTCCCCCACCTTGCTGCTTTTGGCAACCGAAAGGCAGGTGCTCTCTGGCCAAGGGTGCACCCCAGGCTTCCCAGGGGGGCTGGGGTGCCTAGGGCGGCACCGCGGCCAGCCCCACCCCCCTCCTTAGCAGGAGCCGGGAGGGTTGGGGAGCGGGGGTGCTCAGGGGATGCAGGCAGGGTGGGGGGCTCCAGAAGCGGGGCTGGGGGAGGGGCCCCCGCACAGCCGGATGACCGGGGGCACGGACAGAATGGGGCTAGTCGCCCCACCCTGAGCTGAGTCACCAACAGACAAGTGGCAGGGCTGCCGACCCCCTCCCCCCGTCCTCTCCCGCCCAGGCCAGAGGGGGCCCCAGGGGCCTGGAGGGGGCCTGCTTAGCTGAGCAGTTCCAAGTAGGTGACCGGGACCTTGCCCTTCTTGTTGCCTCTCTCGCCGATGAGCCAGTCAGGGTCCATGCCAGGCAGGCTGTAAACAGTGATGAGCTGAAGAGGAGGGCAGAGAGGGGAGGTCACACCCCAGCCGGGGGCAGGAGGGCGTGGGGACAGGGCTGCTAGGGCCCCCCACGAGACCCGGGCATCTGCACCTCCAGAGGCAGGAATTCGCCTCCTCACCCCCCAACGGAGAGACTGCTTCCTCAGAGCTGCAGCTGCCTCCGCTCACCCCCAGCCCCAGCTCCACCCCAGGGCCCCTCAGACACTTGAAGGCAGTGGAAGGGGGAGCTCCCCATTCCAGTTGCCGTGGCGTCAGGCCCACCTCATCAGCCAGCAGGGCCAGCTCGCTGCTGTCGGCTGCCTCATAGTCGTAGAGCACCCGGGCCTTCCGGGTCCCGCTGGCGGGGGGGGTCACCTCCTCCAGGCAGAGAGCGGCCTCTCCTGGAGGGGCCAGGCCAGCCACAGAGGGGCCCACGGGCATAGTGGCCGCGGCGGTGGTGGGTGAGGTGCTGCTGAGGGGCGGGGAGGCGGGCTCTGTGGTGCCCACGAAGGTGCCTGGGAATCTGGAGAGGGGTGACATCTCAGCCGGGAGCTGTGTCCCCGTGGGAGTCCCACGCGCTCCGTCAAACACCTGGGCCCACTGCCACAGAGGCAAAGAGACCCCGGCTACTTACATGGCTCCCTGGGAGCTGGCAGCATGAGGGGGAAAGCAAGGCAAGGGGAGGTGTGAGCCGTACCGCCCCATCCCTGCCATCCTCCCGCCCAGGCCAGCCACCTCCCTGTCCCCCAGAGAGGCGTGTGACGCTCGCAGCCCTCTAACCCGCCCTGCCTGTCGGGGCGGGGGGGGCAGGGGGGCTTGCTGAGCCTGGGGAGAAGGCTGTTGCCCGGGGGAGGGGGCGCGGGCCACTCGTGGGGCCTGGGGACCCCAGTGGGCACCTGCCCAGCTGTTTCTGTAAGTCCAGCATGTGGCGGTAGCACTGCGCGTAGTAAGTTGTCTGGGACTCCACAAACTCATGGAGGCAGCGAAGGTGGTTCACCTGCGGGGGCGCGGAGAGTGGTGCCGACAGTGGGAGGTGTCCTCGCCTACCAGAAGCAGCCCCCCTCCCCGCAGACCCTGGCCTTTAGCGCTCCCTCCTCAACCCCAAGCCACCTGCTCCCTGGGGTGGGGGAGGGCTGCCCAGCCTTTGGCACTGGGACCAAAGCTAAAGTTCCACCCTGAGGACCATGAGCTCAAGCACTGCCCCTTGTCACCCGCTTTTGAGATCCAAGTTCCATCGCCGGCCTCTTGTGGAGGAGTTTAGTGGGGGGCCCGGGGGGGTGGGCAGGAAGTCGGTGGATGACGGGCAACACAGGGTGGGACTCACGTGAGTGCTGCTGATTCCCTCCAGCAGGAGTCGGGTCACTTCTGCCTGCCGGTCAAACTCCGTCTGGGCCACTCGGAGCTCCTGCTCGGCCTGGGAAGGGCAGAGGGGACAGTGGCTGACAGCAACATTTGCCCCCGCCTTCCCGCCCAGGAGCAGCCTCCTCTCCTGCCCTGGATGCAGACGACACGTCCCCCCTGGGGACGTGGACAGTTATCCTGGTGGCACGGATGTACTTCTCACCCCTGACTTCAGGCCCGGAGCCCTGCCCCGTCACAAGCGGTTCAGAGACAGACCCGCGGGTACTCTGCCACCACCTTTGACACTCCGTCCCTTCCCGTCTGACACCACTGTTCCCCTATGTGCTCAGAGGAACTGTGGAGGCGGTTGCCCCACAGAAGGAAAGTGATACCCCGACAGTGGCGGAGCCCAGAACTAGAAACGGATCTGACCCCTACCCCACCCCCACCCACTTCAAGCCTCTGCCCCCAAGCCTCCTGAGCCCAGACTCACCTTGTCCACCTCATCATTCCAGAGCTTCGGAGACCACAACAGGACCGGGCAGCAAGGGAGGGAGAGGGCACCGGTCAGCGGGGGAGTGGGGTGAGGACGGCTGAACCCCAGAGCCCACGCCCTGCCCCAGCTCCCCAAGACCCCACCCCTTCCCGCGCCATGACACTTCCTCACTCCCTCCCCATAACCCAACCAGGAGCTGAGGCTAGGAGGCGGCCTGGCGTGAGCGGGGTCACTGACAACCACAGTCCAGCCCGACATGCCGCATGCAGGGAAGGCAGGGACAGCCAGCTGGGGAGTCCTGCTTGGGTTTCTCCTACAGCGTAAGCCCCCGGGCTCTGATGGGAGACCCAGTGTCCCCCATCCCACCCTGACAATCAGCTAAGGCTGGTGGGCTGGGACGCAGGGCCGTGTGACCCTAGGCCAGTCACTGAACCTTTCTGTCCTTCGGCAGAGAAAGGCAGCCTCGTGCCCGAGTCACACTGGGGTTCAATGGCAAAAGAAAAAAACAGGGCGGTCTCCACCCTCCAGGATATTCCTCCTTCCACTCGGCCCAAGAAGGGGGGCAGGAAGTGTCATCCAGAGTCTAAAGAAGAAAGACCCCCCTCCCCCCGCCACGACTTAGGAGACCCATTTCTCCTGCCCAGTGCGGAGAGTCTATCCTAAGATGATGACCTGAAGGATGGAAAGCAGAGCAAGGCCAGTCCTGTGGACCGAGATGTCCCACCACAGTGCCATTTAGAAAACCAAAGGGTGGGGAGTGACTTCTGCACGCAGGGCTGGAGGACACTCAGCGAGAGGGGCCTGCGGGCGTGACGGGGGGCGGAGAGGGCCAGAGGGCCCGTGTGAGCACGCGCCACCCCTGGTGGAAACGGAAGGTCAGAGAAGAAGGCAGAGCAGGCACAGCAGTGGTGGTGACAGGTACAATAGGAGAGGTGTGATTGGCCCGTGTCCCACACTGAACGGTAAACACCTAGTGGCTCAACACGGCCGTGGAGAAAAGATCCCACGACACTCGGAGCCTTCGGCCCCCACGGCTGCCCCAAGCCTCCTCCGGACAGGCCTGCCCCCCAGCCCGCTGGTCCCCACCCTCCCTGCAAGGGCTCTGGGTCTCTCCTCGCTGCCAGGATGCCGGGCAGATGAGCCAGAGAGGCAGCTGGATGAAGAGTGCCCCCCTTGTCACAGCTCTGGGGTCCTCGAGCCCGAGGTGGGCTGGGGGGCAGTGCCCTTGATGGGGGGGGGGTGGCGGGCGGACCTTGGGGCCCCGGGAGACAGGCAGCTGCTGCCCAGCTTCCCACGCTGTCCCCACGCTGTCTGGGGCAGCTGGGCCGGTCCCCACCTCCAGCGCGGCGCAAACAGAAGTGAGGCCAGGGCGCAGGGCGCAGGCTGGCGGCCAGGAGCGGGGCTGCTGCCTTCCCAGCTCCGGGGCCGCGGCCTGTGTTCCTGGTGCCTGAGCGGCGGAGGGAGGGGGCAGCCGGGGTGGGGCGCTTACCGCGGAGGCGCTGGCCGAGAGAATGTAATTACGTGGTCTAGTCTCCTGAAAGTCAGGCACCGTCTGGCGGGAACAGAGGTCACGGGGGGAGGGGGCGTCACACGGGGCCAGGCGCCGCCCCAGAGTCTCCCATGGGGAGAGGCCAGGAGCCCCGGCCCCAGGGACAGGAGGCTGCAGACACATACCACGCGGACCCCTTCTCCCCGCTCCAACCTCCTGGGCACAAGGTGGGCTTGGGGACAGAGAGAGTCGGACAAAGACCAGGTGGGTGGTCACGCTGGGACCCCAGGAAAGCAGACGATGATGAATCTGCTCATCATCTGATGAGCACCGTCTGATGGATGAGTTGCGGACTGGGCCTGGCCCCCCTCCTCCCTGGACCCTAGCCCCGCTCAGATGCCCCAGTTAGAGCCACAGTCCTCCAGACAAATCACCCCCGACCCCAGCTTTCTCCATCCCAGGATCTCCACACGGCCCATCTCTCACTCCTGCAGCAAGGACCGGGCCCCGCCCCCACAACAAGGTGGACAGATGGATGCATGGGTGGACAGGGTGACAGGCTTTCCATGTTTGCAAAAAGCTGACTCACAGGCTCCAATGCCTGGCGTCCCCCCTAAACCAGAGGCTATGCATGGCAGAGGCTCTGGTGAGGAGACCAGCTGCTTGCAAAATGCCCAGGATGTCCCCTGGGCCGGCCACGCCACTGTGGCCCGAGGCTGGGATGGGCAAACCAGAAGCAGCACAGCACGTGGGATAGGTATACTCACATCTCCCTCACACTGAGCCAAGTTACCCAAAGCAGAACAGAAAGGAACAAAAACAAAGAGGTTAGTGAGTCCACAGCGCAGGCGGGAGCAGGCCCCCCATGGCAGGAGGGGAGAGCAGGTGGCAGGCAGGCGGAAAGACGGCCCTGCCCTCCGGAAGGAGTCCTGCTGTGCATGTGTGCGTGTGTTTAGGGGGAGGGGAGGGACGACCTGCTGGGCTGCGGTCCTCTGGGGTGCTCACTGTACCTGGGTTGCCGCAGGCCTAGCTCTGCAGAGGGTACCTGGCCTAACCCGAGGGCTTGCGGTTGTCTGGGCCAGACAACTAGAGAAGAGGTCGTGCTGCTCTAGTGACTAAGGAAAGGCTCCTCTGGCCTGGCTGATGGAGGATGAGCTGGTTCGGGCCAAGGTACTCCAGAGAGACTGTCCTGTCCAGGTGACTTAGAGACGTTACCCCTGTAGCCATCGGTCATCCTACCCAACCACAACAGGACTCCAGTGGCTGAGCCCCTGCCTCCGATCTGGACCCCACACACCTGCATGAGCTGAGACCCTGCCCTTGGCCCTCACCAGAGGCAGCACAGGCCCACACTCCATGGTCCCGAGGGGCCACGCTGTGGGAGGGGGACGCAAGGAGGGGTTGGGGCCCGAACCCTCACGGGCAGCTGAGAGCCTGGGCGGACACAGGTGGCAGTACCTCCGGGCTGCCCTCGACCTGGGGGTTCCCGGGTGTGAGGCAGCCTCTAGGCCCCTACCCTCCCAAGCAGCCTGGCATGCCAGAAGTGTGCTCCCCCTCAGGCCCGCTCTCCCCACCCTGGCCTAAGCCCTGGTCAAACTGTACCACACTGCATCGACTGGCCTGGCCAGGCTGAGCAGGCCTCAGTGAGCTGGGAGTAGAGGGAGAGGCCCCGGCCTGACCCAGGGCCATGGGACTCCCTGAAAGGGCCCTTGGTCGTGTCCCTGAGCAGGTGGGCAGTCCAGCTCCGGGGTTCACACTATCCGGGCACCCTGGGACCAGCGCTGGAGCAGCGGGTGGGGGAGTTAGTAAGGGGGAGCCATGCCCGGGCAGAGCCGGGGGACAGAGCCAAGCATTCAGGGAGGGCAGGGCAGGGCCATGCGAGAAACTCCAACTGGTTGTCTGTCTGGGGAGGCTGTGGCATGCCCTGAGCCCAGATCAGGGCACTGCTGGTCAGCCCACCCCATAAAAGTCTGCCCTGGGACCCAGAGCTCTGGGCGGCCAGAGTTCCGGGGCGAGGGGGGAGGCATGACCTGAAGCGGTCAGCCAGAACCAGTGCCCCCCAGGCAAACCTCTCCAGGCAGGGACAGGGAAGAACGGTCATGCCAAACATCAGGTCCCTTCACCCTCCCTTGGCTCCAAACAGAGCTGGGGGGCTGGGCAGGAGACCAGCAGGGACACCTACCGTGGCTTTGGCTTCCGCAGCCTTGGCCTTCTTCAGCCGTGCTTTGCAGGCATCCAAGTCCAGACGCCGGTTTTGTAGGAGACGTCTCTCCTTCTGTGGGGAGGGATGACAGGGAAGAGTGAGACCCTGGGGAGCCCTGGGAGATCCTGGGCTATGGCAGGACTGGCCCACAGGGCCATCAGGTCCAGGTGGGGAAACTGAGGCCCGCGCAGGGGGACGTAATCCACTCTGTGTCACTCAGCCCATAAGAGCCATGTCTGGGGAGGCCTGGGAGAGCTGGGTTCCCAGCCTGGGAGGAGAGCCTGTGCTCAGCAGCTCCCAGGAGGAGGATGCCACAGCAACCAGGAAGTGGGACGGCCCCAGGGCTCTCACCGAAATGGTCTTCCAGTCCCCTTCCAGGAAGTTGCGCAGAGGCGTGAGGAAGTTGATGGAGGCTGTGTGGATAAAATCCCTCTCTGCGGCTCCCAGGCGCTTTTCAGCTTCTGCCACCTTGATTAGTGTCTTCCCTGGTTAGATGGAGTTTAAGGGTGAGGAAGAGGCTCGGGCTCAGGCTGCTCTGACCCCCAGAAGTAAGGGAGCGACCAGGGAGAGGCATGCTGAGGGAGCGTGAGCGCAGGGGGCTCAGTGCAGAATGGCTGGCCTGGGAACATGTGGAGCGACCCGCGTATCTGTCACCTGGAGACTGACCAATAAATAGCAGGGCGTCCCAAACGTGGAACACGACACAGCATTAGAAGCATAGGGGCAGGGATGGGACTTCCAGAAGAACACAGAAAGCACCTCAACAAATCCTGTTCCCCAAAAAACAAGAGTAAAAGTGGATATCACTGTCAAAAGCAAACATTTCTAGACTCTGGAAATTGACCAAAGGCAAACTGAGAATATTTACTCAAGAACTCCTGAACCTTGGTAAGAACAAGGTGGGAGCCTGTGGGGGGTGGGGGGCAGGGGGGAACTCCTGTCTTGTCAGCTCTGTGGTGTTGTAGCTCTACCCAGGTGGGGCAAGTCCTGAGGCCGGTGGCCTCACTGCTAGGGGTGGGCAGAGCTGGGGCATGGGTTTCAGGGGAAGGTAGTGGTATTGGTGCTGACTTGATTTGGGCAGGAGCATAGAAAAATCCAGGGGACGCTGTCAAAAACAACAGTGATCCCAATGGCAAGTAATTGAGAAAGACCAACATTACAGCTGACTTGAATAGGGAATACTGGTTGGAACAGATCTGCCAGAAATTTAACAGGAGATCTGGAAACGAGATAGTCACATTGGGCCCTGACCAGCTCCCAGGTATCTCTGGTGGTCTGGAAGGCTACACACGTGTGTGTAATACACTCAGGAAAGACTGGAGAGAACCCTAGGTATCTACTAATCGTTGTTGACCAAATGGGAGGCTTTGCACACAAAATAAAAGCTGGGCAGACTTGTAAACCACTTGAACTTTGAATGAACTTTGAATGTATCCCCCAGCACACCCACAAATTCATCAGTAGAGCCTTAATGGTGCCAAATGTTTAAGCACAGCCTCTGACTGATCTATCATTACCTGACTACTAACATATGCTAACCCAGGAGTAAAACCTAGGAAGCTTAGCTTGAAAAGAAAAAGAATGATTAAAAAAAACCCCAAAAAACTGTGAACGCAGCAGCTGCATCAGGCGCTGCCCACTGCAAGGGACACAGACTCTAAACAATTAGCCCAGGCCAGTCTCTAAGCAAACGAACAGCAACAACAACCCCACGTGATTCAGAATCCATAGCTACTATATTATCTCAAATGTCCAGATTTCAACAAAACATTGTGTGATATGCAAAGAAACACGTGAGTATTTCTGTCAACAAGCAGAAGGAAAAAGCAATCAATAGTCACTGTCTCTAAGGACACTCAGATGTTAGATTTAGCAAAGAAACTTCTTTTTTTAAAAAAGATTGATTTATTTGAGAGAGAGCATGCATGTGTGTGGGGGGAGGAGCAGAGGGAGAGGGAGAGAAAAAATCCTCAAGCAGGCTCCCCGCCTAGCGCAGAGCCTGACATGGGGCTCGATCCCATGACCCTGAGACCATGATCCAATCCGAAACCAAGAGCTGGATGTCCAACCACTGCACCACCCAGGCAGCCCAGATTTAGCAAAGACTTCTAAGCAGAAGAAAAAAATGTGTTTTGGTTTTTTTTTTAATGCTTAAAGAATTGAAGAAAAATATGATGACAATGACTCATCAAATAAAGAATATCAAGAAAGAGATGAAAACTATTAAAAAGAAAGGAAAACTCTGGAGTTGGAAAGCACCACAACTGATATGCAAAGTCTACCAGAAGGGATCAACTGCAAGTGTGAGCTAGCTGAAGGAAAACTGAGCCACTTTAAAGACAGATCAATAAGGATGACCTCGTCTGAAGAACAAAAAGAGAAATGAACGAATAACAACAAACAGAACCTCAGAGACCTATGGGACATCATGAAACAAATCAACATATGAGTAATGGGAGTCCCAGAAGAAGAGGAGAGCAAGGGGCAGAAAAAATATTTGAAGAAATAATAGCTGAAAATGTTTCTGATTTTGATGGAAAACATTAATGTCCATATCCAAGAAACTCAACAAACCCAAAATAGGATGAATACAAAGAGACCGAGAGCCAGGACATCTTGGTCAAGTTGCTGAGAGACAAAGATAAAGTCTCAAAAGCAGCAAGGGATAAGCAACTCATCACATACAAGGGAACCATGATGAGATTTACGAATGACTTCTCATCAGAAACAGTGGAAGCTGGGGTGTCAGGCTGGCTCAGCTGGTAGAACGTGCAACTCTTGATCTCGGGGGTTGTGAGTCCAAGCCCCACTTTGGGTGTAGAGATTACTTAAAAAAACGATACAAAACAACAACAACAACAACAAAACAAACAAACCAAAACCTAAAGAAAAAAAAAAAGAAACAATGGAGGCCAGATGGCAGTGAAATGATATATTCAAAGCAAAAAAAGGAAAAAATTCTCATCCAAGAATACTACATATAGCAAAACTATCTAACAAACGTGAACACGGAATAAAGACATTCCCAGAGAAACAAGACTGAGAGACTCCCTGCCATAGAAGAAATACTTCAGGTTCAAAGGTAATGACACCAGACAGTAAGCTGAATCCACATAAAGCAATAAAGACCACCAATACAGGTAATTATATAGGCAAATACAAAAGACAATACGAACATATTTCTTCTCTTTTCTTAACTGATTTAAAAGACAGCTGTACAAAATAATAACTGTAAAACTGTATTGCTGGGCTCATACAAAATAGAAATGAAATATATATGATAATAACAGCACGAAGAAAGGGAGAGGGGATGGAGTTATATCGGAGTAAAGTGTCTATATTTTACTGGAATTAAATCAGTACTGTTCTGAAGCAGACCGGGGTAAGTTAAAATACATACTGTTATTCATAGTGTGAAACCAGTAAAAAATACTTTGTTAAAAAGGCAAAAAAGAGGGGTGCCTGGGTGGCTCAGTTGGTTAAGCGTCTGCCTTAGTTAGGGTCCTGGGTCCCAGGGTCCTGGGATTGAGCCCCACATCGGGCTCCCTGCTCAGTGGGGAGCCTGAATCTCCCCCTGCTTGTGCACACACACTCTCTCTGTCAAATAAATAAATTAAAAAACTTAAAAACAACAACAAAGAAATTAAAATGTTACACTAGAAAATACCTATTTAACACAACAGAAGGAATAAAGGAGGAACAGATGAACAAAAATGATCTGAGACGTGGAGAAAATAATAAGATGGCATATGTAAATCCAACCACATCAACAATTACGTTAAATATAAATGGATGAAACACTCCAATCAAAGGGTAAAGATGGTCAGAGGGGATTTTTTTAAACAATCCAAATATATACTGTCTATAAAAGAAAAGACTTTAGATTTAAAGACATAAATACGTTGAAAATAGAACAGGAAAAGGTATACTATGTAAACAATAACCATAAGAGAACAGGAGTATCTGAACTGCTATCAGATAAAATGGACTTTAATGTAAATGTGACCAGAGACAAAGAACAGTACTTTACAATGATGTAAGCGTCAATTTATCAGGAAGATGTAATAATAAACATACAGACCTCACAACAGATCTCCAAAAATATATGAAGCAAACACTGACAAACCGAAGCCAGAAATAGACAATTCAACACAAATAGCTGGAGACTTCAATACTTCTCAATAATGTATAGGATAAGACAAAATCAGCAAGCACAGAGAAGACTAGAACAACCCTATCAACCAATTTGGCCTGTTGTCTCTACCACACTCCACTCAACAACGTAACATATAATCTCAAGTGAATACCAGCATTCTCCAGGAAAGACCATATACTAGGCCATAAACAAGTCTTCATAAATGTAAAAGGATTAAAATCATACAAAGCATGTTCTCTGACTACAGCGAAATCAATTAGAAATCAACAACAGAAGGAAACGTGGAAAATCCACAAATATATGGAAATTAACCACCATCCCGCTAGTAGGAATATAAAATCACACAGCCACTTTGGAAGACAGTTTGGTAATTTCCTAAAAAGGTAAACTTAAGTTTACCATATGACCTAGCAAGTCCATTCCTAGGTGGATGTCCAGGAGAAGGGAAAACATACGTCCTCACAAAGTTCTATGTGAAAACGTTCATAAGGACACAACCCAAATGTGTAACCATACAATGGAATACTACCCAATCCAACAATAACAAGGAATGAAATCCTAAAACACATTACAGCATGGATGAATGTCAGAGATACTATGCTCAGTAAAAGAAGCCAGAAGCAAAATAACGGCACACCATGGGGTGCCTGGGTGGCTCAATGAGTTGGGCATTCGACTCTTGCTTTCGGCTCAGGTCATGATCATGGGATTGAGCCCGGCATCCGGCTCCACGCAGAGTCCACTTGGGATTCTTTCCTCCTCCCTCTCCCTCCCCCTCTGCTCCTCATGAGCTCTCTCTCTCTCTCTCTCTCTCTCTCTCGCAAATAAATAAATAAATAAAATCTTGGAAAAAAAAACACACCATATGATTCCATTTATATGAGAGGTTCAGAAAAAGCACATTTATAGGGCACACAAAGCACATGAGCGGTTGGCAGGGGGTGGGACTGGGGACTGACTCTGAGCAGACATGGCACTTTGTGCAGGTGATAGAAACGTTCTTTAAATAGGATTGGGGGGGATGTTTGTCCAACTCTGTAAATTCACTAAAAAGCATTGAATTACACACCTAAAACAGGTGCATTATATGGTATGTAAATTATATCTCCATAAAACTTTAAAAATTAAAAAAAAAAAAAAGATGGAGGGAGCTCTCTAAGAGCCAATGTGAAGTGGTAGCTACTGCAATACCAAGTTGAAAAATCAGGCTGCAGAATGGTACACACAGTACGATCCCATTAACAAACACACACAAGCTGTAACTGGTTAAGAGAAACTTCCATTTCTCATTGTTTTCATCGGCATTGACTGAGGTGTTTTCAAGGAGAGTGAATTTTTTCACTTACTCATTTTCATTAATTTCAAAATTTTTTCATTTTCATTCATTGATTTCATGAATGCTTACAAGTAGATATTATTTGTGTACCTCAAAAAAGTCAAAGAAGTAAAGGAAGGGAGGGATGGAGGAAAATTCAAGAACAAGAGACCATGACCCCTGGCCCTGGCTGTGGGGCTTGGCTCACCATAGGGAGTGGTGGGGCCCAGCTCACTGGCCGCCTCTGCCATGTACTGTGCCAGCAACTCCCCGTTGGTGACCCGCGAGGGCACCTTCCTGTCCAGCTTCTCGTACAGGAACTCCTCCACTCGGGCACCTGCAGGGAGACAGCAGCCAAAGCCACGGGGCTCTTCAGTACAACCCAAGGAGAGCAGCCACGGCGACAGAAACAGATCCAGACCAGGGCCTGCCCATGCGGGTGCCTGGCCTGGTGACTGGCAGAATATTCTCTTTCCAGTGCCCATTTCAACCCAGTGAAACTGGCACTCAACCCTGTAGGACCCCTCACTGTAGAGAGGAGGAAGCCACAGCTCAGAGACATGAAATGCCTACCCCAGGTCACATAGCTGGGGGTGACAGGCCCGAAGCGAAGGCCCACTCACTTCTCCCTCCGTGCAATATGGATTTACAGAACCTAACACACACAGACGATGCTCTGGTGCTGGTTCCAGAAAGCTCCTGGGACACCCACTTATACAGGAGACTTAGAGGCAGATAGGCATCAGGACCCCAAGACACCCCTCCCTCCCCCTGGGTTCTCCTGCCTGTTGCTTCTGCGTGTTCCTCGCTCACGCTCTCGGCAGCGTGACTCTGGGCAAGCCCTCCTCCATCTCTGGGCCCCGCTGCCCTCTCAAAAGACCCAGCTCATGTTTTTACTGCCTCTTCTCCCAAGCGTGTTTTAATTTCAAGCATTTCTTCAGCTCCTCGGTGCAAAACTCTTAACACTTTTGCTGCCCCAGAGAGTGCATCTGGGAGTCCATCACTGAGTCTGCTGTTCTCTTTAACTGCCCCCGCGCCCCCCGCGCCAAGCAGGCCTCAGAAGCCCCAATAACCTGACCCAAATCCCGCCTGCCACCCAGTCCCACCTGCAACCCGGTCCTACTTGCCAGTGGCCTCCAGCCCCTCACCCAGGACCGCCCGGCGCCCACTCACTGGGGTTGGGTTGCAGCAGCACCTCTGTCTGCCGTAGGATTTTCTCTGTCCAGTTCTTGGTGCTGTCTGCCCGGGCGAGAAGGTTTTCAAAGTGTGCATCCAGCTCAGTCTTCTCAGCCTGGCCGAATTTCTCCTCTGTGAACTGTGGGGGGTAGGGTTGAGGGGTGGGGGGGGCTCAGAAGGGGGAAAGCAAGGACTGCCCCTGCCCCTGCCCCACGCTTCTATACCCCCCTTCCCCTCACCCCAGCTAGGACCAAGCCCAAGGTCAAGAAACTGGCTTTGCCCCTAACCTGCTCTGTGACCCTGACCAAGTTACAACCCTGCTCTGTGCTTTAGTTTGCCCCTGTGTAAAATTAGGCTGGACCAGATTGGAGATCATGGCTTCTTTTGGAAATCCAGAAAGCTAGAGACCACCCCCTGCCCCCGCCGCCAAATGCACATCTGTACAAAATCTAGCTTATTACTTAGAGGGATAAGGAGTCATTGGGAGCCTATTTCTAGGGGTCCTCTTAGCCTGACTTTGAAGCAAAGCACTTGGTAGCAGGTGCTCAGGGAATAAATGGGGCACAATGCAAAGTCTGGGGTGATCGCGGGCTCCTTGGGGGACTGGGAGCCACTGGGGAGGGGGTGCCAGGGGAGTGAATGGGAGGAACCCAGGTCCCAGAATCAGAGGGACTTGATTCAAGTCTCAGTTCTATCACTGATGAGCGGTGTGACCTTGGGCAAGTGGCTTTGCCTCTCTGGCATCAGTTTCCTGAGCTGAAACATGAGAATAATAAATAATAGCAGCTCCCTCATAGCTGAAATAGGATGAAATAAGAAAGATGTGGGTAAGGGGTGCCTGAGGGGCTCAGTCAGTGGAGTGTGCAACTCTTGATCTCAGGGTCATGAGTTTAAGCCCCATGCTGAGTGTGGAGCCTACTTAAAAAAAAATTTAAAAAAAAGAAAGAAAGATGTGGGTAAGACGTGAAGGCCAGAGTCTGGTAGGGAGTCGGTGCTGCTGCTATGAAGAGCTGATGGGTGGGGAGGCAGCCGGGAAGGAAAGGGAGTGTGTGTGGGCAGGACAACCACATGGCTGGCCTCTGGTCGCCTGGTGCGTTGGACAGGGAACACCACTAGCCCATCAGAGCCAACTGCTGGGCATGCACAAGGCCTAGAAAGCTCAGCAACCCCGCCCCAAGGCCAGGGAAGAACCAGGATGTCCCAAGGGTCAGAGCCAGCAGAGGCTGTGTGGGCCACGCAGGAACAACCTGATAATGGCCCAAGTCCTGGCCCTTCTGATCTAGAAGGCTCCAGCAGAAAGAGCCTGTTCAAGGTCATAGCCAAATAGCAAAAGGGCATAGACCTGCAGGAATAAGATCAGTAATAATGATAGCAGTACTGTTGACTGCATGGTGGCCCAACCCTGGGCTAAGCATTTGACACCAATGGCCCACTACATCTCTGAGAGCCCTCCAAGACAGTTGGGTCAAGTTTCCCATGTCACAGATGATGCCACTGAGGCTAAGCAAGGGGCAGAGTGTGCTCAAGTCAGAGTCATTATGGGCTGGGAGTCTGGAGGCCCTTCCCAGACTGCTTGGCAGTGATAAATCATCCAGAGGCCAACCACAGCTCCAGCCCAGCTGCAGGGAGAGGGAGGCAGGCACGGATAGTCACTGGGCAGCCATCAATTATGCAACAGGGCTTGGGTTTCTCGCTGCAGGCCTGGGTAGGCCAGGATTACGGCCTCCAGCTCCGTACCTGGGAACCAGCTGTTCCTGGACTCCTCCCACCTCTCCCCACTCCTGGGCCTCTTCACATTCCCTAAACTGGGGCCTCCCAGAGCCAGGCTCTGAGCAGGCCTCACCTCACCCAGCCCCTTATGGGTAGCCTTAGTCCCATTTGCCAGATAAGGAAACCAAGGCTTAGAGAGGCAAAGTCACCTCTCTGGTCTTTAGTTCCCCGCCCTGGCGAAGGGGGTAACAGGACCTATCTTACAGAATATTTGGAAACACACAGCACAGGCCTAATAAACCTTAGCTGCTGTCATCATCACCACGAATAGAAGGCCTCCTTCATCTTCCTCCTTGGAGCTACCTAGGAACCCCCTTACCCCAATGGTACCAGGCACCCTACTTTAGATGACTATGTCATCCAAATGTGCAAGGTTAACGGCAGCCACTCCCCACTGAGCCTTGGGGTACCCACCCCTCACGCCCCAGGTCCACTGTCCTACGGGGCTTTCCTAACCTCTTGGGCATCCATCCAGTGCTGCCTGCCTGGCTCAGATGAGGAAAGCGCTACCACCTCCTCTTGGCCTTTATCATTACTAGTTCTACCACTACTCTTACTATTACGGCAGTTATTACTAATAGCATTAATACTATGGCTTCCACGGCCCACTCCCACCCACGCTGGCTTCTTACTCAATATAGCCTAGGTTTCCTGCCTCGCTGCCCTTAGCTGGGCCTTTCCAGCCCCTAGACCAACTTCACAAATCTTTCCTGACTTTCAAGGCACAGTTCGGGGACTGGGAAGCCAGCCCAGAATCACCCATGCAAAAGGGATCCTGCTCTCCCAGGGTCAAGCTCAGGTTCCCTACTGGATGGGGGTGGAGCAAGGCTCTAAAAGGTGTCCCTAGGACAAGGAGGGGCTGACCGAGTACCCAGCATGTCCTGGGACATGGCAAGGCAGCGCCTAGGCAGAGAAGCTGCCCACACACTGATAATGAAGAACTCCCTCCCATCCCTCCTGACTGACTCCTATCTCCAGGCAGGTCCCAAGGGTCCTCTCCTATGCAGGTGACATTTCAAGACCTCTCTCCTCTGGCCTGCCACCCTGCCCCATCCCTACCAAGAGGAAAGGCCCTATGCTTCAGGGGCTGATGTCTGCAGAGTCCAAGGCTGCTCCCTGCAAGATGGCAGCAGCAGGGGGTGGGCGTGCAGAGCCAGAGAAAGCCTCTATTTATAAAGCTCCCAGCTCCCTCCTCTACCCCAGAGTCTGGAGCCTGGGCGCTGGCTCCCACTCCAGTATGGGTGACCCAGTGGGCCTGCCCCCACCAGGAGAAGTGAGGCCACAGGGCCCAAGCCTCCCCACACCCCAGGCTCTGCAGGCCCTGGCCAGGTCAGGTGCCAGGGCCCCACAGTAGCAGGAAACTGGCAGATCAGGTTCTTCCCAGATGTGGGAGATAGAGTGGTTGCCATACCAACACTGGGAGGGTTCCCACCTTCCAGATGAACTGAGGATAGCCAAGGGGCTCCAGGGTCCTAGCAACCCCACTAGGGCTGGGGTCACCTACGGGGCTTGAAATACCAAGCAGCAAATCCTCACTGGGGCACTAATCCTCAATGGGACACGGGACAGGGTTTTCTAGTAAACATGAGCACATGGGTTTCCCAGAGACTGTCTGGCGCTGGGCTTCTCCGGAGAACTGAGCCGACAACCACAGCAAGGACAAACAATAGGACCAGCTCCCAGAGCACTGCGACAGGCCAAGCCCCAAGTCTGCAGCCACCCCTGGAGGCAGACTGGTGTTACACCCGATTGACAGAAGGGGGAAAAGTGACTTGCCCAAGGTCACATGCCGCACAGGTGCCATACTAACTACACTAACACCACTAGTATGCTTGCCTTTTTTTTCTTAGATTTTCTTTTTTTAATTTGAGAGAGAGTGAGAGCACGAGTGAGGGGGGAGGGGCAGAAGAAGAGGGGGAAGCAGACTCCCTGCTAAGCAGGGAGCCCGACGTGGGGCTTGATCCCAGGACCCTGGGATCATGACCTGAGCCGAAGGCAGACGCTTAATGGACTGAGCCACCCAGGTGCCCCATAAGCTTGCCTTTACTGAGCATGTACATGCTGAGTACCAAGGAACCCTCACATCCATCCTGGGAGGGAGGGATTGCTAATCCCATTTATCAGACTGAAAAACTGAGGCCAAGAGATGAAGCCCCTTGCTCAAGGTCACAAGAGGGAGCATCCATGCCCATAGCTGCCTCCAGGTCTTCACCATTACATTAAGATGCCTCAGTTTCTCTCCTGGCCCCAGGATGTGGACAGGACTTGTTCCAATCCCAGCATCATCAGCCTGGACAGCTGTCCAAGGAGGGCACCCAGCCAGACCTCAGCCCTGTCCCCATCCCCCAGGCTTGGAGAAAGAAGAGGAAACAGGCCTCCCATGGAGCAGAAAGGAAGTAATCCCAGCCCTCCTGGCTTCCGGACCGACTATCCAAGCGTGGAAAGAGGACCTGAGGGAATCAGGACCACCAGCCCATTGCACAGGTGCAGAGACTGAGGCTCGGAGAAGGGGTCGTGGCGGGTGCATGGTCCTTGGGCCTGGCGCTCAGGCCTCCAGACGCCTGCCAGAGTCACGGCTGGGAAACGGCTGGGAGGCAGGGCCGTCCGGTGCTCTCTCCCCTCCTGGGGCGGGAGCCACGGCAGCGGGGTAACCCAGCCGGTCCATACTTCCGCCGCCCCCCCCTCCCCGGGCAACAGGGCCGAGGCCCGGCTCAGTCCCCGGCCCCGGGCTACGCTGAGTGTGCGGCCAGAGAGGCCGGCCGCCCCGGGCTCTTTCTTCTGGGTAGCGCAGCAGTAAGGGATGTGGGGGGCTAGGGCGTCCCCGCGGCGGGGAGGGCGGCGGCAGCCTCCGGGGGCTTCTCCTGCGCCCCCCCCCCGGCTCTACTGCAGGGGTGCTCCCGGCTCGCCCCACATCCGGGCCGCGAGGCCCAGGGCGCACGGCCTCACCTGCACCGCCCGGGTGAAGAAGATGCCCGCGTCCGACGCCAGCTTCTTCATGTTGAAGTCCATGGCGCGACGCACGGCCGGCCGCGCTCAGCCCGAGCGCAGCCCGGCAGCCCCCAGCCCGCCGCGGCCGGCCCGCACCCCGCCCACCTGCTGCGGGTGTGCCCTCCCTCAGCGCGCCCTCCCTCTGCGAGCCCTCCCTCAGCGCGCCCGCTCGCCAGCCGGCAGCCGCCACCGCCGAGCTAACCAGAGCGCGCAGGGCGGGGCGCGGGCATCCGGGGGAGGAGTCAGCCGGAGCGCGCAGGGCGGGGCGCGTGGGAGGGGCCAGCCGAAGCGCGGGGGGCGGGGCGGGGGGGGGGGGGGCGGGGCGCGGGCTGCGGGGGAGGAGTCTTAGGGACCAGGCTGGACCAGAGGTAGTGGGTCTTGCTGCGCCTGGCTACTTCACCCTGAGGCCTCCGCCTGTCACCCGGCTGGCCTCTCTCCACTCCTCGTCCCTCAGCCCCTGCCCATTTGTGCCTCTTCATGTCTCTTTGACCATTCGCACCCCACTCATCTACTAGGCCCTCTGTCTTCCTATTTCTCTGCCTCTTTTGCCCTGAGTCTCTCTGTGCAGCCCACCACCACCACCTTGACCTTTCCAGTCCCCTTCTTCTGACACTGACCTTGGTGACAGTAAGGACATCTGAGCCAGGGGACAGGATGGCTGGGGACTCCTCTGGCTGTTTGTTCCTTGGAAGCCCTCTGGTTCTCCAAAGTTGGGTGAAGGGGTGTGGAGGGGTTATAAGGGAGGGAGGAGAGGTGGGGAGGTCAAGGTAGTGGAATGGGCTGCGCTCGGGGCAGGAACACTTGCTGATCTTGAACCTACCTCCTCACAGTCCCGGACAGGCAAGGGAACGCCCTGCAGGTACATCCTTCCTTTCATGGACCTTAGAAGGGCTTATTATCTGTCTCCGCCTCTCTCTGCTTTCTACCTCTAGACTTCATCTTTTAATGCAGTGGAGAGCTCTGTTCCCGAACTGGTGCTGTCTCCTACCTGGCTCCATCCTTTGGATGCCTGGCTTGTTTATCTCCATATACTAACCCCAGTTCCCCATCACCTACCCCAGCCTGTCTCTGCAGGGTAAGCTCAGTCACCTGGGGTTTTGCTCAAAATCCAGACCCCAGACTCACTCCCAAACTGGTTCTCTTAGCATGCATGAGGCCCAGGAAGGTGGAGTTTGGAAAGCTTCCAGGTGACTTAATGTGCACCCATTTAATGAGTCTGTGTTTGTTACCTATTTGGAGCCATCACTATGTGCTTTTATTCATCTGTACTGATCATTCACTTATTTACCAATGTCTGTCTATGGTGGTCAATATCATTCATTGAGTCAGCATCCAGCCCTATCATCTTCAAAAGCCATATATCAACATACTTATATGTTCACTCATTCAATAACTCACATTGAGCACTGTTTTAAAAAAAAAAAAGATTCAGGGGCGCCTGGGTGACTCAGTCGGTTAAATGTCCGACTCTTGATTTCAGCTCAGGTCAACAGGAGTCTGCTTCTCTCCCTCTTCCCCTCCCTCTGCCCCTCCCCCTGCTCTCTCTCTCTCTCAAAATAAATATGAGACTGATGTGCTGCCTACTGCACTAAGGAGGCACCTTCTCTCAAAATAAATAAATAAAATCTTTTTAATAAAAGTATTCATGGTATTTGTTAAAGATGGTAAGGAAGACTTTATTCAAGAGGGACCACTGCAATGGGGGTTTTGCAGTAAGGGAAGGAAATGGGGCTCAACTCTGAGTACAACAAGGACAAGTGGAGATTTACAGCTAAAGAGCGGGGGCGGGGGTCAGGGGATGGAAAATGACTAAGTGGAAACATCAAGGCAAGCGGGATTCTCCCTGAAGGCAGGCCAAGATATTAAGGGTAGAAAATGAGGAATTTGTTTAAATATGGAGGGTGATCAGATACCAGGGTGGGAAATTCTTTTTTTTTTTTTTAAGATTTTATTTATTTAGGGCGCCTGGGTGGCTCAGTTGGTTAAGCGACTGCCTTCGGCTCAGGTCATGATCCTGGAGTCCCAGGATCGAGTCCCGCATCGGGCTCCCTGCTCAGCAGGGAGTCTGCTTCTCCCTCTGACCCTCTTCCCTCCTGTGCTCTCTCTCTCTCTATATCTCATTCTGTTTCTCAAATAAATAAATAAAATCTTTAAAAAAAAAAGATTTTATTTATTTATTTGACAGACAGAGAGAGAGCACAAGCAGGGGGAGCGGCAGGCAGAGGGAGAGGGAGAAGCAGGCTCACCAAGCAGGGAGTCTGAAGCGGGGCTCGATCCCAGGACCCCAGGGTCATGACCTGAGCCGAAGGCAGCCGCTTAACAACTGAGCCATGCAGGTGTCCCCCCAAGAGTGGGAAATTCTTGCTAAAACTGGACTCTACAAGGACACAGATGGAAGTCCAAGGTCAACCTAGTTGAGTAGAGGGCCCAGAGGAGCCTGATACAGGTTTGGTCAAGGAGAAAGTCTTTGTGAGCCAGGCACAGTTTTAGGCACCAGGGATGGAGAGGTAAACAAAACAAGGCCCCTCCCTTCTTGGGCAAACAAATATGTAACACGTCAAGTCATGAGTCCTGGGAAGAAAAACACAGCAGGATAAAGAGGAGAGAGAGTGGGGCTCCGGGCTGGCTCACTTGGTAGCTCATGCGACACTTGCTGTAAGGGTTGTGAGTTTGAGCCCCGTGTTGGGCATAGAGCCTCCAAAAAATTTAAGATAAATAAATAGATGAATAGGAGAGAGAGACAGTAGGTAGTAGTTATTACTTATACCTGTCCCAGTCTATATGCTTCATCTATTTATCTAGTTTACAATTGGCTATTGCAGTTTTCTTACTAAAAATTAGTTGCCAAATGTCCTGAGACCATGCCAGGTCCAACACTGAGCACTTTTAAGTGAATAATCACCTAGAATGGTCATAATAGCTCTGAAATCCTCCTCCTCCTCATTTTAGGGGTGAGGAAGGTGAGGTTTAAAGAAGTGATTTTTTTTTTCAAAGATTTTATTTATTTATTTGAAGAGAGAGCATGACAGGGAGCAAGAGCACAAGCGGTGGGGGGAGGGTTGAGGGAGAAGCAGACTCCCCACCGAGCAGGAAGCCCGATGTGGGACTCGATTCCAGGACCCTGGGATCATGACCTGCGCTGAAGGCAGATGCTTAACTGACTGAGCCACAAGGGCGCCCAAGAAGCTAAGTGATTTGCAGAAGGTCACAGGGCACAGAGTGAGAGTGTCAGATTGAGCCCAGAACCCAGGCAGTCCAACTGTGGAGACCACTCTTCTTTGCTCTGGCTCCCTCTTCCTTGGCTCATTGGATACCAGGTTCTCTCTTGCCTTGGGGTCACAGCCTGTGCTGCTCCTGGAATGCTCAGTCCTCTCCCCTTTACCCAGCTAATTCTTGCTCATCCTTCAGGTTTGCATCTGGACATCCCTTTCTTTTCGGAGTCTCTCACCTCCCCCTGCAAGCCCAGGTGTCTCCTAGTCTCCCCACATTCCTGAGTTTCTCCCATCAGAGCAACTATCACACAAGGTTGTAATTAAGTATCTGCTTCCTTTGAGCTCCCTGGGGGCACCATTTATCTTGTCCACCACTGGCACACAGATATATTGTTGTCAAATGAATGAAGGAATGCGACCTTGCTAATAATTACATTTAAAAACAGCTCTTAGCAGGGGCACCTGGGTGGCTCAGTCAGTTAAGCGTCTGCTTTCGGCTCAGGGCATGATCCCAGGATGGAGCCCCATGTCTGGCTACCTGCTCAGCAGGGAGTCTGCTTCTCCCTCTGCCCCTCCTTCTGCTCCTTCTCTCTCTTTTGCTCTCTCTCTCAAATAAATCAAATCTTAAAAAACAAAAACCAGACAAACAGCCCTTCGCAATTATGAAAGGACTTGCCACACTGTTTTCTCCAAACCTCACCAAAGCCTTGCGACTTGGGCAAGGTAGGAATTCCACACCCACTTACAGAGGGGTAAACCGCGTGAACTCCAGAGAGCTTAAGTGGCGGGACTTGATTCCAACTCAAGTCAGCCCTATTCCAAACCCAGTGTTTCGTTCGAGGCACCGCTGGGCGGCCGGAAGGTAATCACTTGACTTCAGCTCTCAGGGAGACAATGTCTGGTAGGGGAGATTTGCAAACAGCTCCAAAAGAAAGTGGAGAGTGCCAAGTTTGGTTTAAGAAGATGCTGTGGGAAGTCAGAGGAAGTGGCATTTGAAAATGGGCCCTTTGGGGCGCCTGGGTGGCTCAATCGTTTGGCGTCTGCCTTCGGCTCAGGTCATGATCCCAGGGTCCTGGGATCGAGCCCCGCATCGGGCTCCCTGCTCAGCGGAAAGCCTGCTTCTCCCTGTGCCTCTCCCTCTCTATCTGCTTGTGTTCCCTCTCTCGCTGTGTGTCTCTCTCTCTGTCAAATAAATAAATAAAATCTTTTAAAGAAAGAAAGAAAATGGGCCCTTGAAGGGCGGGCCGAATTTGTGTGGGAACCCGAAAGAGCAGCGAAGCCAGATAGGGCTCAAACCGATCGCAGGTCCCTCCCAGAAAGACCCTTAGAGACCTCATAGCTCCGCCTCAGCCTCTTTAAGGGTGGCCCCGCCCCACTCAGCCACCGGAGTCAATCGAATCCCGACGGCCAATGGGAGGGGAGATCACTTCCGCGCCTCAACCGCACTTAGGGGGCGGAGCAGGAGCCGAGGGAGGTGCGGCCAGGCTGGTCACGTGACCCGATCCTTTGGCTGGAATTCGGCGACGTTCCTTGGGCAAAGGAGGGTCGGCCCCGCGTGAGGCCACGCCCCCCGCGGTGGCCTAGAGGTTGGTTGCGCGGGCGCCGGGGAAGGAGACGCTGCCCTTCCGCAGCGATGGGATCTTGGGTGAGTGGCGCCCCGGGTTGAGCTCGTGCGGCGGGCGACGCGGCAGGGCTCGGGACTGAGGCTTGCAGCGGGTGGGAACCGGGTCTGAGCAAGGAACTGGGTGGGAGCGCAGGTGTCCGGGCTCAGACTGACTAGAAGGGCCGGGTTTAGGATAAACAGGTACCCGGGCCGTGGGCGGCGCGAGAGGTGGAACGGAAGGTACCAGGTTAGGTCGGTGAGGAGATGCCCGGGCCTGGAACGTTGCAGGGTCGCAGGTACCCGAACCGCGGCTAGGAAAGTACCCGAGATGGAGGGAGCAGGTGTGCCGGCCGTGGGTGGCGCCAGTGGGCACCTAGACGACCCTCAAGGATATTCCAGGGGTCGGGCAAGAGAAAAGGGGGCCTGAACTGGGGCTGCGCAGGGAGATGTCCGAGATGAGATGAACAGATTCTGAAGAAGGGGATATTGCTGAGGTTCAGTGCGGGAGTGCCCGTTACGCATTACAAGTGCTTGGTCAGACCTGCAAGGTGTCTAGGGTGCCATGAACAGAGACCGGGCAGAGGGTGGTTCAGAGGAGTGCCTGGGCTCGGGACATTGCTGGGGTCAGGGAGGAAGGACGGGCTGCTCAGGCCAGACTCATTAATAGGATTGCCCAGGGCAAGGGAGGAGGTTGCCGCTGTGGAAAGTGTGGGCATCCAAGCGAGGATGTTGTGCCACAGCGGGGGCCAAATGAGGAGGTTCCTGCCCAAGGTTATAGGGTGACTTGCCCAGCTGGGAATGGCAGTGGAAGTGTGTACAGGGTGGGAAACGTTGCTACAGGCTGTCATCATGGAGAAGAGGTGGCTTCTCCCCAGGTTGTGTCAGTGGGGAAGAATAGGGCACGGCTGAGCTGAGTCTGGATCCAACCCTGGAGTGAAGCAGGCTTGGGGGCCAGTGTCGTCACCTTGCACTTGCCACTCTTCCTCTCCTCTGGAGCAGCAGAAGCTGCTCTTGACTCTCCTGCAGGCAAGTAACCAGGCCTCCCAGCCCCGTCTCACGCCTGGAGCACGTGTTCGGGTTCACTGTTGCAGCTCCCTGTGGGCTTCTCACTTGCGCCCAGAAGTCCTTCAGGTGTGGCAAGGAGGAAGATGAGGGAGCTGTAGCAGGCGCCTCAGGGAAACACCAGGGCTTCAGGATCCCTTGCAGCTGAGGTCACATCCCAGCTTGGTCAGTTAGCGAAGTCAATCAGGTTGCTTACGTCTCATGGCCTCAGTTTCCCCATCATAAGCAGTGGTTGTCTCTGAGTGACTTGACTCCCAGCCAGAGCTTGTGGGAAGCCTGGCCTATAGTGTAAGTGCCGGGGAAATAGTGGTTGCCTGATCCTCTGGTGTTCTGAGGCCTGGGCCGGGTTGGGGGGATGAGAGGGCTGGCTTATGGTACGAACCCGGGCCCTGACCACTGGAGGTCACAGCTCAATTCACAGCCTCCTGGCAGGATGTCTCCTACCTTAACAGCATGACTGTTTCCTTGGCCCTAGACTGGGTATTCCCCAACTCGCCCCCCTCATGCACACAGCCCAGCGCTAGATCTACGCTGGTAGGATCGTCCATCCTTCCCACTCACTGGGAATAAGCTGTTTCTTGTGCTGCTCCAGTGACTTTGGCCGCCATCCCAGGTTGATAGGGTCTGTCCTGGCCTGTGTATTCCTTCCGCTTGAGGTCCCAGGAGACCTTGAAGGCATCCTTGGTCTTTGTGGTGGCAGTTGGGGAGTGCTCTGCAGGATCTTGGGGACTGGGCAATGTGTGCTCAAGCCATTTATTCACTGACCTTGGAATGGGGAAAGTTGCTCTTGTAGTTTGTGGTTCTGCTGGGGCTTGCCACTTCCTGCTGCATGTCAGGTTTAGCTAAAGGGTTGTATTGAGCACAGAGTCTGAAGTCCAGTAGACCTTGGTCCAAGTCCTGATGTTACCTCATACTAGCTGTATGACTGTGGACGCCCCCTGACTTAAAACCCCTCTGAGTCTCACTTTCCTCTTTGGAAATTGGCAGAGATGGGGCACGGGGCTAGATAGCTTCTCCTTCACAGAACTGTAATGATCCCGTGAAATAACATATGGAAGAACCCAGTGCAGAATATACACATAGAGTGTAGTAGCTTTCGCTATTTGAGGGAGCACCCTGCAGCTTTCATAATACAGCCCACAGGAAATAAAAACATTCTTGGCTTTGTGGGAGGTGAAAAACATGTAATGATTCTCAGTCAGGGGCCTGACCCTTTTGTGGCCTGAAGTTTTTGTGTAGCCAGTGGACCATGGGTTTAAAAAGATTGTGCAAGTGTGGCACAAAGCCCCAAGTTGGAGAGTGACCTATCCATCTCCCAGGCCTTGGGTCTGTTCTTGGGCCAACATGCCAGAGATGCAATCTTCTGCTCCTAGGTCTCAGTGCAGGCAGAGGGTATGTGGGACATTTGGCTGCCTTCCTGCTGGTGGTCGCAGAAGGCGGGGGCCTGATTCCAGGCCTGGTGTTCCAGAGGTGGGCTTTGCTCCCACCTCATCCCCCAGAGCACTCTTACGGGCATTTCGCTGTGCTCACATGAGCATATCCTTGTCTGACTTGGTCATCTGTCTCTCAGCTCTGTGGAAGGACCCTCTGGTATGTGTGTCCCTGTCTTTCCGAGGCGTGGATGGTGCCTGGGACCCAGCCAGCAGCCAGTTGAAGACATTTTCCTTGGAAGCTCTTAGACCCGAGGGTGCTGGTCCTGCCATGGCGTTCCGGAGGACCGAGGGCATGTCCATGATCCAGGCGCTGGCCATGACGGTGGCCGAGATCCCTGTGTTCCTGTACACGACCTTTGGGCAGGTAAAAGTTGGGATGAGTTGTGGTCCTGCCTTTACCCCTCTGGCCTCTGAAACACTGAGCCACTCATCCCAGGGTCTCTAGCCTTTGGGAAAGCCTGTCCCTCATTATTGCCCCAGGCTTCTGGGGTCTTCTCTTTGTGCAGAGTAGGAATGACTAGGTGAGGAGTCTGGAGTCCCAAGCCCAGTCTTCACCCTAGGGCTATGTGAACTCTTGGCCTCAGTGTTTCAGTCTATCAGAGGGGTCAATAATGCCCTCCCTGCCAACCTCAGATGTTTGTGGCTGACCAAGTCTGCTGTGTGGGGTGCAGCCCCACGTGAGGGGCTCCCAGTTCAACAGGCAGAGAGTGAGGAGCAGGGAATTGTACAGATGGGGCAGTTAGGTGGAGGGAATGTTATCGACTTCAAGGAGTCATTAAGAAAAGGGGTCAGGAGACCGAGGTTCGATTTCTGACTCCCCGTCACCTTGAGCACGTGTCTTAACCTATGTGAGCCTCAGAATCTCACCTGGAAAAGGACAGGCATTCAGCCAGGGAGTGCAGGTAAAATCCTAGCTCTGTGCCTGGCATAGTAGGGGCTCAGTCACTGTAGCTGTTAGAATCACAACCGATGGAGTGAGGGACACCTGCTGGGCCCTAGATGTGATCTCTTTGGCATTGCCATTTTGCTGTCCCCAGCCTCTTTACGTCCCCGTGGTCCACATTTCAGAGGTGCTGGCCCGGTGCCTCCTTGGGGGGGTGACTGCCTCTCATTCCTGGTCAGCAAATGGACCCCGAGTGCCTGAGGCCTCCTGTGTCCCTCAGGTGCTCCCCAGCACAGCTCTGCCCACCTCAGCTCCTCCGGGGAGATGTAGCCCAGCCGCCTCCCTCTTTTCCTGCAGTCTGCCTTCTCCCAGCTGCGGCTGACACCGGGCCTGCGGAAGGTCCTTTTTGCCACAGCCCTGGGCACGGTGGCCCTGGCCCTGGCCGCCCATCAGCTGAAGAGGCGACGGCGGAGGAAGAAGCAGGTCGGCCCTGAGATGGGAGGTGCATATCTGGGCACGGTGCCCCTCCCCATCCTCATGGCCAGGAAGGTCCCATCGGTGAAGAAAGGTAGGTGGTGAGGCACTGGGGGAGGGCCTGACCTGGAGTCAAGTCCCAGCTGGGCCCCTGGTCACTGTCGGATCTTGGGCTAGTGACGTCCTATCTCCGAGCTGAGTTCCCCTCCGGGAAGCAGGGATGCAGTAGACCCTTCCCTGAGTCATCACCAAGTCAGGGATTTGGTGGGTGATGCAGCCGGATGCACACGTCCTGTCAGTGGCGGCATTTCTCAGTATCTGAGGACCCCTTGGGAGCACCCGCGTCCAGAGGGGGCCTGTCAGGATGCAGCTCCTCTGCTCAGGGAGGGAAGCCCCCTGGCTCAGGGGCAAGAAGGACCATGTGGTTCCTGAGCCAGATGGTATTCTCTCCATTCCCCCCCCCCCTTTTTTGTAAAAGTTAAGTTCAGCCTTTTGAGCATACGGTTCTTTTTTTTTTTTTTAAGATTTCATTCATTTATTTGACAGAGAGAGACACAGCGAGAGAGGGAACACAAGCAGGGGGAGTAGGAGAGGGAGAAGCAGGCTCCCCGCTGAGCAGGGAGCCCGACGCAGGGCTTGATCCCAGCCAGGACCCTGGGATCATGACCTGAGCCAAAGGCAGACGCTTAACGACTGAGCCACCCAGGCGCCCTGAGCATACAGTTCTTTATGGAATTTTGTGTAGCACCTGGAGGCCTGTATTTACACCACGTCGAGACCTGTACCACTGCGCTCTCAATCCCCACGTCTTGTGTGGTCAGCGCCTCTCTCCTCCCCCGCCAGCCCCTGGTAGCCTCTGAGCCATTTTGTGTCTGCTGGTGTGGCTTTCAAAACCCTTACAGACCCTGTTCATTTTGTAACCCAGCAACCCAGTGTTTGCCATGCCTGAATATCATGGATCTCTTCCCCGGGCAGGAAGTCCTCACAGGCTCACATCTTGGGAGAAACCTGGTTTGAGAAGCAAAAATCCCCCTTGGGGCGCCTGGCTGGCTCAGTCAGTAGAACGTGCAACTCTTGATCTCAGGGTCATGAGTTCAAGCCCCACTTTGGGCATGGAGCCTACATTAGGAAAAAAAAGAAGAAGAAGGAAAAATCCCCTTAAATGAAAATGAATTTTAGTTGTGAATTAGCATTGCAAAAGGGAAGTTTTCTCTTTACAGCTGGAAAAAGAAGTTTTAAGACTAGTCTAGAGCAGGCCCTGAGAAGCGCTGATGTAGTTGGGTTTCTGTGTCCACGGGCCCCTGGAACACCTGGATCTGCTCCTATGGCGACCTCTTGCTTGCCTACCCCGTCCCACCACCACCACCTCTGGTGTTACCTTCTTTTCCCTTCCCTACTTTTCTCACTTAAAAAAAAAATGTTTTATATTTAAAGAAGCCATTGTCTCAACTTTTTGGAAGGAGGAGAATTCCAAATCAGTCAATCAGCAACGCAGGGGAGGCTGAGTGAGAAGTAGACGGAGAAGTCGCCAGACCTCATTCTCTGGCTTATCTGGCAGGTCCGGGGCCTTCTGGGCCAGGTCCTGTGCTGGGCGACAGGGATACGGTAGTGAGCAGGATGACAGGCAGAGGAGTAGCACTCTGCTAAGCGCACGCACGAGGACGCTCTGCCGTCCCCCTGACTTAGAAGGGTATGTAGGGCAAGCTCCCAGATGAGGAGGGGGAGGGTTGTCTGGAGGTGGGAACAGCCTGTGCAAAGGCCGGACTCGAAGGCTGCGTGACCCTTGCCCTCCTGTTGCTCACAGGCTACTCCAGCCGGAGGATGCAGAGCCCCAGTAGCAAGAGCAACGACACTCTGAGTGGCATCTCCTCCATCGAGCCCAGCAAGCACTCAGGCTCCTCCCACAGCTTGGCTTCGGTAAATAGCCAGGGCAGGGCACTAGGGACTCTGGGCTCAGGCCCTGGTACCGAGGAGGCTCTAATCTCTGCCCTCGGGGAGCTGACAGACTGGAAGGAAGATAGGAGAGATTTCCTTCGGTCTCTCATCTGTCCACACAGGCTTTCCGAGATTGTCACTGATCACTAACCGAGGGCCAGGCTTCGGTGAGAGAGAGGTGGATAGGGGCAGAAGAGAGGTGGGTGGTCTCTTGTGGGGAAGAGACTTGTCTATGAAAGTTCATTCATTCGTTCGTCAGACACGGAGTAGGCGTCTGCTTTGTGCCAGGGACTCTTTTAAAGATAAAGAGATAAATGAGACAAAGAGAAGCATATTTTCTCCTGGGGAGTGGCTTTGGGCTCATTCGTTCATCTAGTGACCGCTTCGTGCAGTGAGCTCTGAGCCTGGCTCTGCCCTGGGAACCCAGGGGTGAGCAAGAGAGGGCTCTTGCCCTGGAGGAGCCCACATCCCGGCAGGGCGAGAAGTGTGGCGAGCATGGGCCCTGCCCCGTCCTGTGGTGGTGGGAGCTCCTCAGTCTTCCTAGTCCCCCCAGTCACAGAGTGCCAGAGCAGGGAATGGGCCCCGGACGGCTTCTGTAGGAAGCTGCTGGTTCCTGGGATGGCCATTGGTCTCTTTCCTCCCACTTCTGCAGTTTCTGTAAAAGTGCCACCGGGTGCTTAAAGTTGGTGGGACCAGGCCCTGCTGAGGGCTTGGCCGCGTGCCGGGGGCTGGCTTCAGAGATGGTCTTAGGAGAGGGTGTGTGACGTAGGACCAGGCAGTGGGAGGGGCTCAGGTCCTACAAAGGGTCTGGGAGGGCCTTACCCCTTGCCCTTGGGTCCTTGTGCTGCTTGGTGCCCAGATGGTAGCAGTGAACTCATCCAGCCCCACGGCTGCATGCTCGGGACCATGGGACACCAGAGGGATGGAAGAGTCTGTGACTACCAGTGATGGCAACGCGGAGAGTCTCTACATGCAAGGTACTGGCCAGGAGGCCAGCCATGGGGCCTCTTCTGGGGCAGAGTTGGGGGAAGAATGGCCTCCTCCCGGGAGCCCAGGCTGGACTCAGGACACCTTCCCAGGTGCTGGTTTGCAACCCCACTCCCGACCCCAAAACCCTCATTCGGGGGTTTCTAGCCATTTGTGGATAGGGGACAGTCTCTAGGAACAAATCCGGTCTGAATGGCGGCCTGTAAACTGAGCCGCCTTGGAAAAGTGACTAGGAGCCGGCTCACACAGTCCTGCCCGTTTCTGTCCTTTCGTGTCCTCCTGCCTCCTTGCCTTTCTGACCCCATCTTGAGTGTGGGGCCCGGCTGCTCTCCTCTGCCGAGGTCAGACTCTCCCTTGTCTTCCCGCCCGTGCTCAGGCATGGAGCTGTTCGAGGAGGCTCTACAGAAGTGGGAGCAGGCGCTGAGCGTGGGGCAGCGAGGGGACAGCAGTACCCCCACACCAGGGGACAGCCTGCGGAACCCCGAGACTGCTTCGGAGGTACTGTCTGAGGTAGGTTGTCCTCCCATGTGTCCTTCTTAGCTCCCAGCCATGGAGAAGGTTGGGGGGGGGCAGAGAGGCAGCCAATCTTTGGGAGGGAGTGTAGCAGCCCCGCCTTCTGCTGGGTGGTCCCTTGTGCTCCTGGATGGTGGCAGTTCCACCAGGTGACATTCCACCAGGATATCAATCCACCCAAGGAAAATACACACATAAGGTGCTTAGCACATGCCTGACGCATGTGGTAATCACTCAGTAATCCAGGGGATGATCACACCCCAGTCCCAACTATGTGAGGAAAAGGTGCATTTTATGAAGGACTGGCGGGAAGTGGCCTGTGTTCAGCTAAGCGGATCTCACAGCCTTTGTCTTGTCCTTTCTTTAGACATTTTTTTTTGTTTTTGCAGTCAGTATTTATTTCAATATCAGAAAAGAGAAATAAAGTGAAAAAAAGCTAACATTAAAAAATGTTTGTGTCCTGGATGGACGTTTACTGAAGCATTATCTTGTAACAGTGAAAAACCAGAAAAAACTGGAAACGATCTGCGTGCCTATCCGTAGGGGTCTGGAGTATGATACTAGGGAAATCTGCATAGGCTGATAGGCTGCTGTCTCCACAGTGTGTCATCAAGTGAAAAAAGCAAGCTGTGGAATGTGTATAGTGTGACCCGTGTGTATACGTGTTCAGAAAGACATCTATCCATGCATACGTGTGCGAATGTGTAACTGCTGGTGTGTATGTGCGTTTTTACTTTCCTCTGGACAGATAACTCAGGAAACTGTTAACAGTGATCTGTGAGGATTGGTTTGACAGGGAAAGGTGGAAAAAGGCTTTTATTGTACTTTATTGTTTGGCCTTCCTAATTTCTAGCTATGCTTACGGGCAGGGTTTATACAGGTGGTAGGATTGTGGACTGTTTCTGTTTTAGTCTTTATGCTTTTATATATTAAAAAAAAGCCCTATGGGCGCCTGGGTGGCTCAGTTGGTTAAGCGACTGCCTTCGGCTCAGGTCATGATCCTGGAGTCCCGGGATCGAGTCCCGTATCGGGCTCCCTACTCGGCAGGGAGTCTGCTTCTCCCTCTGACCCTCTTCCCTCTCGTGCTCTCTATCTCTCATTCTCTCTCTCTCAAATAAATAAATTAAAAAAAATCTTTAAAAAATTAAAAAAAAAATAAAAAAATAAAAAATAAAAAAAAAGCCCTATGAGGTCCTGGCCTCTGCTGGAGCGAGGACAAAGTTGGGGCTCTTTGGGGTGCACTCTGATAGTATCTGGAGAGTCCGTCAGGATCAACTTCAGGTGTTAAAAAGGGAGGTTAACCTAGGGAATTGGTGGCACAGGTGAGGAGTGTGTCCAGAGCCTAGGATTCACAGAACGTAGAACCATGGTGGTGGATAACCAGCGAGCGTCGCCCCAGCTTGGGTGGGGTGGGGCAGTGATATGATGTGAGGCAGGACTGGCAGGGGAGTTTGTCTGTGCATTGCCCCATCCCATGCTTCCTCCACCAATGCCTCTGTGGGTCATGAGCCCGTTGGCAGGGGAGCCTGGGAAACACTTTGCGGCACCTGGATGAGGACTTGCCTGGCACAGCTGGTAACAACTTGAAGGTATGGTGTCCTGTACCCCAGCTGGGAACATCAGCTCAGAGCCTGTGACACAAGCAGGAGCATGGTAGCTACAGGACGGAGGACATCGGAGACATGCCCCCAGAGGGTGACAAAGCCTCCGGTGCCCAAGGGCACAGCTGCATCAGGGATCCGCTATTTGTGGGCAGACAGCAGAGGCCTGCAGGAGGGTTTTAGGTCACGGAAAGGAAGGGAGACAGCTCTATTTCCAAAACGGTATCGATTGCTAATACTACGTCTTGAAATTCTAGAACTTTCATTGATCTTATCATGAAAGCAATGAAGCATTCCTCACAGAATAGTGAGAACTACAGATATAGAAAAGAGTGGGGGAGGAAAGTGTCCAGTCTTTGATCTTTGATCGGCGGCTCATGTTGTATGATGAGGCCCTCGGCCTCCCTGAGCACTGGGGCCCTTGGCGGGATGCCACTGCCAGCCCTGGGATCCTGGTGCAAAGTAGGTGCTCAATAAACGATCTCTATAACCCTTCATCCAGACACAACCGCTTGGTGTCCTTCCGGGCATTTTTCTATCCTAAAAAGAAATTTTTTTAACAGGTTTATTGGAATATTACTCGTATACCATCAAATTCATTTCAGTTCAATTCTGAATTGTACAATTCGTTGGCTTTTAGTATATTCGGAGTTGGGTGTTCATCACCACAATTAATTTTAGAACACTCTCGTCATGTTCCCATGGAGTCCCATATGCTTCATCAGACACTTCCCATCAGACACAGCCCCAGCCCTCCCCTCATCTACTTTTCATTTCTATGGATTGGCCTGTTCTGGACATTTCTATAAACGGACTCATAATTAGTGGCCTTTTATGACTGGCCCCTTTCCTATAGCATAATGTTTTCAAGGTTCATTCTTGTAACTTGGATCACTACCTCATTTCTGTTTATCGCTGAGTAATATTCTATTGTATGGCTGGACCGCATTTTATTTATCCATCCACTGATGGGCATTTCGGTTGTTTTTACTTTGTGGCTCTTATGAGTAATGCTGCTATGACCATTTTGTGTGCAAGTTTTTGTGTGGACACATTGTTTTTAACTCCCTTGGGTGTACTACAGCTAGGAGTGGAATTGCTGGGTCCTATGATAATGCTATGTTTGACATTTGGAGGAGCCACCAGACCATTTTCCACAGCAGCTCCACCATTTTACAGTCCCACCAGCAGTGTAGGAGGGTTCTGGTTTCTCCACAACCTCGCCAGCACTTGTTTTCATCTGTCTTTTTGGTTCTAGCTATCCTGGTGGGTGCCAAATGGTTATGTCATTGTAGTTTTGATTTGCATTTTCCTGGGTTAACAGCGTGGAGCTTCTTTGCATGTGTTTGTTGGCCATTTGTATGTCTTCTTGGAAGAAATGTCTGTTCACATCCTTTACTGTATTTTTCATTTGGCTATTTATCTTTTTTTTTTAATGATTCAGCAATTTGATATATTACTCAGTGCTCATCACCGTAAGTGCCCACTTCATCCCTTTATCTGTTCCACCCATCCCCCACCCAACTCCCTCATCTGGCACCCACCAGTTTGGTCTCTATATTTAAGAGTCTGTTTTTTTGTTTGTCTCTTTTTCTGTTTGTTCATTTGTTTTGTTTCTTAAATTCCACATATGAGTGAAATCATATGGGATTTCTCTCTCTGACTTATTTCACTTAGCATTATACTTTGTAGATCCATCCATGTGGTTGCAAATGGCAAGGTTTCATTCTTTTTTATGGCTGAATAATATTCCGTTGTATATATATACCACTTCTTCTTTATCCATTCATCTGTGGATGGATACTTGCATTTACAGTAGCCAAGATATGGAAGCAACCCAAGTGTCTATCCACAGACAAGTGGTTATGTCTTTTTAGTATTGAATTGTAAGGGTTTTTTTTTATGTATTCGAGATATAAGTCCCTTATCAGAGATAGGATCTGCAGATACTTTCTCCCATTCTGTGGATTGTCTTTTCACTTTCCTGATGGCATCCTTTGAAGCACAAAAGTTTTTCTTTTTTTAATCTTTTGTATTTTTTTTTTAAATTTTTTAATTTTAAGTAGGCTCCACAGCCATCGTGGAGTATAAACTCACAATCCTGAGATCAAGAGTTGCACACTCCTCCGACTGAGCCAGCCAGGCACCCCTGAAGCACAAAAGTTTTTAATTTCAATGAGTTCAGTGTATCTTTTCTCTTTTGTCCTTTGCGCTTTGGGTGTGACATCCAAGAAACCGGTCCCTAACCCAAGACCACTTCTCCGAGAAAGAGTGCACAGACCTCTGCCAAAGCTACGGGGCCGTGCTGGCCTCACTGTGCAGGGTCAGGTCCTATTAGAGAATTGAGCAAAGCGGGTAGTGGGTCCCGGGGTTCCATGGGCTCTGCTGGGGCTCTAGCTGAGTGAGCTGAGCCACTTAACATCCTTAAGTTTTCTCTGTGAGTTGGGGTCACAGCCATGCCAGCCTTCAAGGATGCTGCAAGGCTGAACAGCAAGGTGCCTGGTCCAGGGCGAGCACTTGGTGCAAGAACCATTTCCAGCATTGGGGAAATGGTTGGGACAGACCACATCTCCTGTCGTCCTCTGAGCTCTTCCAGCTCTGTCCCCAGTCCCCTGGGGTCTGGTTACATACAGGTGCAGGATCTGGCAGCCTTGGTAGAAAACAGAGTTGGGCCTACCTGTGCCTGGTCCCTTGGCCGAGAAGCTCCTGGGATCAAAGGTGCAGTGCCTCCTTCTTTCCACATACCAGCCTGGAAGCCAAGGGCAGGGGGAAGTCACTGAACCACAGGCTGTTGTGTCTTTGGTACAATACTTTCCCCAGCACACATGGTTCATAGTAACAGTGGAATTTGAACCCAGCTCTTTCTGGGATCCTGTCTGCCTTCTTATTATAATGACATTATTATCATCGTACACATTATGTTAAATATGTATATATATGTTACATGTTACATATTATGTGTATTATAGTATACTTTGTGTGTTATATATACATTATATACTATATCATAGTGATTATTATATACTATATCATAATGATTATTTTATACTATATGATAACACTTACTCGTCATCACCACAGTCCAACCTTGTGGGAAGGACTTTGCATACCTTCTCTCCGTCATGTTTTCCCTAAAATCCTAGGAAGTAGGTACTCTCATGTCAGTTGATAGGTAAGGAAACAGAGGCTTAGAATGAGGAAGTAATTTACTTGAGGCCATACCGTTTGGAACTGGTGGTGCTGGGCTCAGGGCCCAGGTCAGCATTGTTCAGTAGGAAGACACATAGCTCATTTAAAATTTCTTAGACACCATGCTAAAAAGCAAAAAAGAAACGGGTAAAATCAATTTTAAGAACACATTTTATTATTTGTTTATTTCAAGTAGGCGGGCCTTGAACTCACGACCCCAAGATCAAGACCTGAGTTCAGATCAAGAGTCGGATGCTTGGGCGCCTGGGTGGCTCAGTTGGTTGAGCGACTGCCTTCAGCTCAGGTCATGATCCTGGAGTCCCGGGATCGAGTCCCACATCGGGCTCCCTGCGCAGCGGGGAGTCTGCTTCTCCCTCTGACCCTCTTCCCTCTCGTGCTCTCTGTCTCTCATTCTCTCTCTCTCAAATAAATAGATAAAATCTTTAAAAAAAAAAAAAAGAGTCGGATGCTTAACCGACTGAGACACCCAGGCTTCCCTTAATAATACGTTTTATATAATCTAGTATATGGAGTCTATTATCGTATCAACGTGTGATCAACATGGAGCATCATTGAGCTATTTTATTTATTTATTTAAAAATTTACTTATTTGAGAGAGAGAGACAGAGATAGCGGGAGAGACAGCGAGAGAGAGCATGAGCAGGGAGGAGAGGGAGAAGCAGGCTCCCCGCTGAGCAGGGAGCCCGATATGGTGCTCGATCCCAGGACCCTGGGATCCTGACCTGAGCTGAAGGCAGACGCTTCACCAACTAAGCCACCTAGGTGCCCCTTGTTTTATTTTTAAATATTTGTTTCTTTGACAGAGAGCGCACACGCTCAGAATGGAAAGGGGCAGAGGGAGAGAAACTCAAGCAGACTCACTCCCTACTGAGAACGGAGCCTGACGTGAGACTTGATCCCACGACCCTGAGATCAAGACCTGAACCGAAACCAAGAGTCAGACACTTAACTGACTGAGCCACCCAGGCGCCCCTGAGAAGTTTTAGAGTGTTTTTGTTTGTTTGCGGTTTCTTGGTACTATGTATTTGAAATCCGGCATGTGTTTATACTTAGGGCACATCTCTGTTGGGACAGACCACATTTCAACTGCTTGTTCGCTTTATGTGGCTGGTGACTCCTGTATTGGGCAGCTCAGGTCTAGACATGTACTCTTGCTGCTGGGCCCCAGAGCCTTCCCCCCCCTTTCCCCCCATCAGTGGTGAGGGGGGACCGTAGGCCTGGGGAGTGTGGAGGGCCTGGGTTGATGTTCATTGTTTTCCTGGCAGCCAGAGTCACAGCGAAGGGAGTTTGCAGAGAAGCTGGAGTCCCTGCTGCACCGGGCTTACCACCTGCAAGAGGAGTTTGGGTCCACCTTCCCGGCCGACAGCATGCTGCTGGACCTTGGTGAGCTGGCCTGGTTGCAGGCTGGAGTGGGGCGGGGTGGGGGCAGGGTGGAGGTGGGAGGTGGCAAGAGAACTGGGGTGTGGCTCCCTCAGAATCCTCAGAGACTTTGGACCTCATTTGATCAGTGCCTTATATGTAGGTGGGGAAACTGAGGCCTTAAGGGTTAGGCATTTTGTTTTGTTTTTTAAGATTTTATTTATTTGTGAGAGAGAGCACAGAGGGAGAGTGAGGGAGAAACGGACTCCCTGCTGAGCAGGGAGCCCAACATGGGGCCCAATTTCTGGACCCTGGGACCATGACCTGAGCTGAAGGCAGACGCTTAACTGACTGAGCCACCCAGGCGCCCCTAAAATTTTATTTTTAAGTCATCTCTACACCCATAACCCAGAGATCAGGAGTCACATGCTGTACCGACTGAGCCAGCCAGGCACCCCGAAGGTGTTCTTTTATATGTAGAAGGCGGGAGCAGGGCTTGACGAGGCCCCGGGAGTCCCCGGACGCTGTGCCTTGGCCCATCCCCTGGGGAGAAGGCCTTCAGGTGTGTGTGTCAGCATCTCCCCTGTTGGGTTCCAGGCCTTTGGTTTGAGCCCTTTTCTGTGGCACCAGGTAGGCAGAAGGGGTGGCTCATGGAGGTTAGTCGAAAATAGCTCTTGCTGTTGCCCCTTCCCCCCCCGCCCCCGACTGAGGTCAAGGTACATGACATCAGGGAGACAGAATGAAGCTGTTAGCTGGATGGCCAGTGTTCTCCTGGTGCCCACGGTGTGCCAGACCCCCTGCAGTGAGTGGACCCCGGGACCCTTCTTTGGGTGCTGTCAGCCGACTCCTGTGTCCAGCTCCCCAGCTCTGCCGGTGGTGACACAGGCCTGGCAAGGGCCGGCTACAGCGACACACCCTCCCACGGCCTGTCCCCGAGTGGCTTTACCTGAAGAGGAACCCTGGCCTACTCTGGCCTCCCCGTGTGGCAGAGAAGGCTGGTGGGGCCTTGAAGGCCATGGTCTCTGCTTATCTGTTCGACAGACCTTTCCTGAGTGCCCTCTGAAGGTCCAGACTCCCACAGCCCTTGAGCGGGTGAGTCTAGAAACACTGAGTCAGTGGCCGGTGCGTTCCCTTGAGCTCTTTGTCATCAGTGGCTAAGTTTCCGTTTGTCAGAGAGGGGAATCAGCCTGCCCAGGGCCACACAGTACAGCAGAGCCTGCCCGTGCAGAGTTCATGGGCCATCGGGCTTCGGGGTGCAGCTCTGTGGCCGTGGGCAATCCCCCTCAGGAGCCCCCTTCCACACCTAACTGTGCCCACCTCCAATGATGCTGTAGCATCGAGAGAAGCCATTCATTTGGGGCGATGAGCCTAGAATCTTCATGCGTACATGTTCAGTACACAGGAGCCGTGGGATCAGCGGCAGCAGCTGGCCCAGAATCCGGTCGGTCGCTTTGCATGCGTGCATTCCAAAAAGCCGGTGATTTTGGAGTCTCAGCTCAGCCCTTCTCTTCCTGCTCTTCCCAGAGAGGACCCTCATGTTGCCCCTGACCGAGGGCTCCCTGCGTCTACGGGCGGACGATGAGGACAGCCTGACCTCCGAGGATTCCTTCTTCTCTGCTACCGAGGTGATGGGGGGCGGGGTCGAGGGGCAGAGAGGGAGGGTGGGGTGGAGTGAAGCCCGGGCCCCTGTGGGACTCTCACCATGAGCACTTGGTCATGGGAAAGCGAAGGCATTTCCTCTGAGAGGAGCAGAATTTGGCAGTCCCCAAGTGCCGCTCCCCGGGGACCCCATGCACTTGCCAGGGACAGGGAGGCGTGAGAAGCCAGGGGTCCTGGGTCCTGTGGGTGAGGGTCGGGGTCTCTACCCCCGTGGCTCCAGCACACACTGACCTCTCCCTTCTTAGACTGCATGCTCATTGCTTGGCATTAGTCTCCTGCCACGGCCACGTGTGTCAGGCCCAGCCGCCTGCCTGGTGTGAGAAGATGTGGGCACCTGTCCAGTAGATGGTCCCTTTGGGTTGGGCCCCTGGCGGAGATGGGGATGCTGAGGGCCAGAGCCGGACTCAGATTGAGGCTTCTTGCCTGTTGGGTCAGTGTTCCCTCTGGCATCCCCTCTGAGAGGTTGTCCTCTAGGGCGTCCCCTGGGCAGGCACGCTCACCCCTTGGGATGCTGCTGACACAGGCGGTGACACCACCTTCCTCTTCCTGGTGCCCTCCCGCAGCTCTTTGAGTCCCTGCAGGCAGGAGATGACCTGATCCCACTCTCCAGGCCGGCTGCCGCTTATGAGGAGGCCCTACAGCTGGTGAAGGAGGGGAAAGTGCCCTGCCGGACCCTCAGGCGAGCATGTAGGGAAGGAGGCGGGGAGCAGAGGCAGGTGGGGCGGGCCCTGTGCCCCTTGAAGTGCTCGGTGAGGACCGTGGTGCTCTGGCAGCAGCTCCTGCCCGAGCCATGGAGGGTCTAGAAAGGCCTGGAGTTCAAAGACAGGCAGGCCTACAACTAACAACCACAAATTAATATAATTAATTAGTTAAATAATAATTGTTTCTACTTATTCTAAATTATCACAGGGATCTAACCACAGAAACACAGTGGGCTCTTTTCCAAAGCCCTGTGTCTTGAAGTAATCCATCTTAGCGGCAGCCCTGAAGCCGGGCCCTGGGGGACACACAAACCTGATTTCTTCCAGGTTCTGTCACTTCCGAGCGTGTGGCCCTGGACAAGTTGCTTAACCCTCCTCAGCCTCAGCTTCCTCATCTGTGGCATATTTAGGTTTCTGATCTATCTTAAATTAATTTTGCTGTTTGATATGAAACTCAGAACTTGGCTTTTGGCCATGACTCTGTATTTAAGTACGTGTGTTTAAAGTTCACTGACTGAAAATGGTTGAGAGTCCTGGTTACCAATGTGAATGAGGGGAGCCAGACCAGGGCGGGGGAGGCCTGCAGGTGCCCCAGAATGGCTGACACCTGGGAGCAGGTAGGTCATTCCAGTCCTCTGCCAGTGAGGGTCCTTTGCTGGCTGGGGCCTGAAGGAGGCCAAGGTCAGCCCGACTCCCAGGGCCCAGACCCACCAGCTGCGCTCAGTGCCACTGAGGACAACACACCCTCAGAGAGCGTCCAGTCAGCCTCTTCCCTTGGGTTTGGGGGGCACTGAGGCCTAGAGGAAGGCAGGCACTTGCCCAAGGTCATACTGCCCGGCCAAGATAGGACCACTCGGGGCTCCACCCTGACCTGGAGGGCATTGCTGGGTAGGTCCCAGGGGGAGTGACTGACTGTGTTTCTCCTCAGGACTGAGCTGCTGGGCTGCTACAGTGACCAGGACTTTCTGGCCAAGCTGCATTGTGTGCGGCAAGCCTTTGAGGTGTGTGTCAGGGGCACCTGGAGAAGACAGAGCCGGGGCTGCGGTAGTCGGGCAGGTCTGCCAGGCCCTGCTACCACACCCGGTTCCTCTGCTCAGATGGGTCACCTGCCTGCCCCATTCCAGTGACATCTCCGCCAGCTTGCTCCTCTCCCTTCCTCGTTCCTTAGGGTCTTCTAGAAGACAAGAGTAACCAGCTTTTCTTTGGAGAGGTTGGCCGGCAGATGGTGACGGGCCTGATGACCAAAGCTGAGAAGGTAGCTTTTTTCAAGTTTTCTTCCCACCTTGCCTTTTTTTTTTTTTTTTTAAGATTTTATTTATTTATTTGACAGAAACACAGTGAGAGAGGGAACACAAGCAGGGGGAGTGGGAGAGGGAGAAGCAGGCTTCCCGCTGAGCAGGGAGCCCGATGTGGGACTCAATCCTAGGAGCCTGGGATCACAACCTGAGCTGAAGGCAGAGGCTTAACAACTGGGCCATCCAGGCGCCCCGCCCCCTTGCCTTTTTTAATTTTAATTTTTGTAACTTTTATTTGGTTCTGAAAAAAAAAAAAAAAGCAAGCAAGCCCGGAACGCGTGGGTGGCTCAATCAGTTAAGCGTATGTCTGTTGATTTTGGCTCAGGTCATGATCTCCGGGTCATGGGATTGAACCCTCGACCGGGCTTCCTCTCCTTCTGCGCCCTCACCACCCTGCTCGCACTTGTGCCCTCTCTCTGTCCCAGATGAATGAATAAATCTTAAAAAAGAAAAACAAAAAACAATCTGAAATCAAGCTGAGGAGCTTTGACTTCATCCTGAAGGCTCTAGAGGAGCTGGGAAAGGCTTAGGGGGCATATCCTGTGCTGATTCTGAAAAATACGGGTCTGTATTGCTTTTTATGTCTGAGGCTACTGTCACCAGGTTTTATACAATTCAGCAGCTCCAAAATGCAAACCTTAGAAGGTCTCCCTGAACCTGCCAGAGGGAGCCACTGCCCCAGTCTGCTGTGTTTCTCCGGCCCGGTTTCATGGACTAACCCTTGAACATGGTTATACAATTTCCAAAGTTCCCTCCAGACTGTTCTGCAGCTCTGTTTTGTTGTGTAAGAGTGGATCTTGGGGCGCCTGGGTGGCTCAGTTGGTTAAGCAACTGCCTTCGGCTCAGGTCATGATCCTGGAGTCCCAGGATCG